GTGGTGACTGCAGGAAGGAATTTCACGTGGAAGCTATGTCTGTATGGTCACAACTCTTCAGGCAACCAGGTGCCCCCTCCTTTAAGTACAGATCTGTTGCTCCTGCCTTTCACCGGGGACTCAGAATCCAAAGTCAGGCTGCTCTGCTAGGGCAGACCAAGGGCAGGAAGCAGCAGGTCTCAGGAACAGCAGTTCTGGGGAGCACTTACCCCCCATTTCCGTCTGGCTCTCTTTCTCTCTCACCCTCACCCGGTGTTTTCTCTTTCTGGCGGTCCCCCTGCTTCTCTCTGTGGAGAGGCTCCTCTGCTTTTTCTGCCCTCTCTGTGGCCTGAGCCATAATTCCTGCCCTCTTGCTTGGGTATGGCCGTGGCTCACCACAGCTCTTCTGGATCAGCTACCAGTGCCTCCTTGTAGCTTCACCTCTGCTGTGAATCCTCTCCCTTTTGCCGTGTTCCCGTTCTCAAGGGGTCACGCTGATTAGCTCAGCTCATCTCTGCATGGGTCAGAGGCCACCATGTTTTGGTCTTTGTGTCAGGTATCTGACCCCGTTTGTTCGTATTTGGGGTAATTAAGAGTAGAGTCATGTGGTATGAAACGTGGCCAGTGCCTTCTCAGTGGACAGGGAAACTTCCCATGGAAGATAGTGTGAAAGCCTGTGGAACTGTGTGTATTGGCAAACACAACCTGTACTGTATGCTGTAATCTAAAGGGATTTCCTAATGTCAATGATACATAAAAAGCACTGTGCAAGGCTCTCTGGGGGAAGTAATCCACTTTCCTATTACTGAACATAATACCCTCTGCTGTGTCATGTTAATGAAATTTTAACATGCAGTAAAAGCAACCACAAAATAAGTGCCATTCATTGGTCTCTTGTGATATGCCACACACTTCAAATACATTATTAGTAATTCTTCCAAGAACTCTAAAGGGTGGACACAAACATTCTTATTTTATAGAAGTGAAGGTTCAGAAAGCATTCCTGTTTTACAGGTTCATAAGTTTAAGTAAGTGGTCCAAGGTTACATTGCAGATAAGAGTGCATACTCAGGTCACTCTGTTTCTGAAACCTACATTTCTTTACTGTATTTGCCATATGTATGTATATATATATATATATATATACATATATATATATGTATATATATATATACATATATATGTATACATATATTACTTTCAACAGTCAGATATATTTTAAAGAAATTAAGATGAGAAAAGTAATCTACTATATTTACACAGATATCCACCTTTTCTGTTTCTCTTCCTTCACTTCTGAAATTTCAAGGAAACCCTGGTGTCATTTCCCTTCAGCCTAAAGAAATTTCCTTAGCATTTCTTTGTAGAGCAGGTCTACTGATGACAAGGTCTATATTTTCCTCCTTGAGAAATGGCTTTCTTTTCCCTTCATCCCTCAAAGATATTTTCACCGGAGGCAGAATTTTAGGTTGACAGGTCTTTTTCTGGGGCACTTTTAAGATACTGTTTAGCTGTCTTCTGGCCTCAGTCGTTTCTTTTTCTGTTTGTTTCTTTGCCGTGACTTTTACTGTTGTGTACTTCCTCAGGGTCCCCAACCTGAAAGTGGAAGCTGTCAGGCCTCCTCTGCCCTCTGCTCGCACAGGGCTGCTCTGTCCCCAGCATGCCCTCAGCCCTCGAGCAGCCCCTCTGATTGAAGGCACACCCTGTGATCAGGAAAGGGCACCACCCAAGTCAGCATCTTGGCCAGCGACCCTTTTCCTTACTTTGCGGTGATTGTGACAACGTGCCCACAGCTCACAATGTCCACTCTGACTTGGGCAGTGGCCTCAGTCACTTCTGATGAGAGACTTGCCATCCGTGGAATTACTGTTCCTGTCCATCTAATGGGTCATCTCCACCCCCATACCCCCAGCTGCTTTCAAGACTTTGCCTGTGGTTTTCAGTAATTTTCTTATTACGTGTCTAGGCTGATTTCTTTGAGTGTGCCCTCTTTGGAGGTTGCTGAGTTTCTTGTATCTGTAAATTTGTCTTTCACCCAGTTTAAGAAGTTTGAAGGCATTATTTCTATAAATGTTCTCTCTGCACCAATATCTTTTCCCTCTGCTTTAGGGACTCCAGTGACACAAATGTGAGATCTTCTGATATTGTCCCACGAGTACCTGAGATTCTAGTCATTTTTCTTTTCAGTCTCTTTTCCTTCTGTGGTTCGGACTAGATAATTCTTACTGTTCTCTCTTCAAGTTTATGGCTCTTTCCTCTCTCCTCCCTGTTCTGCTAGTGAGCCCATCTAAGGCTCACATACTGTAAACTCTAAAGTTTTAGAGTTTCAACTCTAAACCTAAAGGTTCAGCCTAGTTCTCTTGTTTATAGATACTACTCTTCTATGTTGAGAATTTCTATCTTTATTCATTTCAGGAGTGTTCACCTTAGTTCACAGAAGCTGGTTCTAAAAGCTACTTTAAAGTCTGTCTGATAACTCACATGTCTGGATCGTGTTTGTGTTGGCATCTACTCATCGCTTGGTCCTTTGAGAACTGGTCAGATTTTCATGGTTGTTGGTACATCAAGAAATTTTGGATTGTATCCTGGACATTTTGAATATTTTGTTGTCAGTCTCCGCATATTGTTAAAATCCTCTGGAGAATACTGATTTGTTGTTTGAATAGGCAACTGACTGGCATGGTTCTGTCCTTTCCCTCTGTGATAGTAGTTGCATTGTCAGTTCGGTTCTCTGTGCTATTTGGGTCTGCCTGGGGCATCACCGCTCCCGGCTTGCTCTGGTACTTGGGTGGTTTTTATACTGTAATTCAGTTCTCAGAGCCTTTGCTATACATCTCTGGGTGTTTTCTGCACGTGTGCAACGTGGGGAGTGAGCCCAATACTTGTACAGATTCAAACACAGAACTGGAGATTCTCTTGTCCAGCCCTCTCTCATCTGTGGGATTTTCTGCCACACCCTCTGGCTTCCATGGCCCCTTTTTCCCAGTTTCTCTGGGTAGAAAGATGGGGTTCCTTCAGAGTTTTCGTCTCCTGTGCTGTGGCAGAGTTCCCTGCAGCGGCACCAGTGCAGACCAGCAAGAGAAAAGGTGATTCCTCCACTCTTTGCACAATTGGGTTTCTTTTTCTGATTCTTCTATCCTGAGAGTTGGATCATCTTTGGGATGTTAAGCGTCCACTCCCCCATGGGGGTAGCAGTGCAGATCTATGTCTGAAGCTGGCTGTGAAGCAGGGCGAGGAGAATAAAAACATGAGGTCTCCCCATACTCTGGCTTGCAGAGCCCCTCTCCTGCTTCTCTAGCCAGCATGACGGCCTTCACTAGGGATATTGTGCTCTTTGAACCTTTTTACACAGTTCCCAATTTGGCTTGCCTTGAGGCCAAATCCTGGATGAACAACATAGAAAAAACCCAGAAAACCCCTTGTAGCTGAGTTGATCTTTCATTAAGGTTTTACCTCCCTCCTTAATCCACTTGCTGTTGTTTACTTTCCAAACTCCTGTTGTTTGCCATTTTGTCTAGTCTTAGTTGTGATTGGAGGGTGATCAGAGGGTGATTGGAGAGGTGATAGAAGGGCTCCTTTTCCCCGGACCACCTCTTATGAATGTTTATACCCCTAGCACTTGCCACAGAACGACCGCGTGATAGTGCACTAAATGAAGTGAATGAAAGTGTAAAATGTGAGGCTCACCAATTATCTAGCAAACTCTGATAGGACAGGGATGGCCGACATTTGGCTCAAAGCCTTTCACTCTCACTTCCCACACTGAGAGCTGATCAGTACTTTACTGCCCTGTGCTTTGAGAAGCCTGAATACAGCCACAGAATACTTCCTCACCAGCAAGCCTGGCAGCCACTGCCAGATGGATGGCATTGGCCTGTGAGGTGGAAGCCCCTGTCTTTTGTTTCTGTCTTCAAAACCGAGTTATTCACACGGAAATGTAAGCTTTCTTTTCTCATTTAACTGCAGTGGCTCCTCTCCTCGATTTTCCATCCTCCCATTCTCTTTTCTCTTAAAGATTCCAGTTGATTGATATATTTTTTCCTCTGCCAGGTGGCTTGTTGAGAAAAATCATTCTTTGCTTTCTTATAAAGTTTCTGTATTTTCATAAAAAATTGTAATTACATGAATGTGTTTCAGTGAGCTTTCCCTCATTTACACACATAGGAATTTATTTTTGTGTTTTAGCCTTTGGGAAATGAGGAATTTGTTTAAGAGATCAGTAATTATCCCACTCAAAAATGAACATTAGAATTCTTCTTTATTTGATCACAGTATGTCACCAAATCCACAATTTATTTATCACCAGCTGCATCCATTAATTCAGACTTACTGGCCCTTGACTAAGAGACCGCTATAGCTTCTCATTTTAAATCTTTCAAGGAACAAATATTAATAGAAAGTAGTAAGCCTTAAATATATCTGATCTTAAATCTCAGTCTGTACAAACTTTTTTTTTTTTTTCGCTTTGCTTGTCGTTTTTATTACCTTAAGACTATTTTCCAGTAGAGTCACAATCTAAATAGAAGTGTACTTTTTTGTTAGGAGATTGCGGGGACCATTACCAGCTTCTAAGGGATCACTGTGGTATAAGCACTATCTTGGCAGGAATTAAGAGGCAGCATTTGTGAATGTGAATGCCTTTTTATGTCCTTGTCCTTTTGGTGTGAACACCTATGTGTGACCTATCTGGGAACTTGCTCAAGAGGAGTCTTTATAGAACGTTAGGTGTTCCTGCTTCTAACATGGATAATCTGGTTAGAAAAATGAGCTCCCAGAGTATATTAAGCACATATGTGGTGTAAATACCAAGCGCTTGTTGATAGAAGTTCGGCATCATTGAGTCCAAAGTCGTCTGGTGAGGCTTCGTTTTAAAGAGAACTCAGGACCACAGCCTGGGATTCCGTCCAGCAGTGCTGGGGCTGAAATTAGAAAACTGAAGAGAGAAACTTACTGTGTGACAGTCTGCTGCGTTCACAATCTAAGTGTGCCTTTCTCTTGTCCTTTTCTCCTGGGGTCTGCAGTTTACCGTGGCTTCTGGGCGGTCCTGATGCTTCTTGGGGTAGTTTCTGTGGTGACTGCGAGCTTTTTGATCATCTGTGCAGCCCCCTTCGCCAGCCATCTTCTCTATAAAGCCGGGGGAGGCTCCTACATCGCCGCAGGTACGTCCATTGCGAAGGGTATGATTTCCAGCTGTGGTTTTTCCCCATATCTTCATATTTTCCACTTCTAGTTTCAGGGGTGAGGCTTCTAGTAGTAATAATATGTTAATATTCATGTACAATATTTCCTGAGAGCTACCTATATGTCACACACTTTTCCAGGGACTTCCCGTTTTCCATTTGCTCATTGTATCCACATTATATGAATGAAGACACTAGGCAGGAAAGCTCTTCTGTAAGAGCCCTTTAATCTCTCTTATCCTGTTAATTTTCTACCTGGAAAAGGGGGTTATAACACGTCTCTAACATCTGGGCATAGGTGAAGCTTTTTGTATGCTCTTAAGAAGGTAGCCCCATTATGATATTACAAACCTTCATGATTTATTTATTAGAGGTAAAAAGCATCTTTTTCTACATCATCATCATTCCATTTTCTTAATTGTGGTTCATGTGCATTATCTAAATACCTTCTCTTCTTTGTAAAACCTGTATTTTTTTTAGTCAGCTTTCTAACTAGTCTAATTCCTGCTAAAAGGGTCATAGTACAAATAGAAAAATAATTGAATAGGTGAGTCTTGTGAATTTTAAGACCTTTAAATTTAATTAGGAAATAAAAGCCAGAGCACTAACCTGAAAACATAAGCACAAGGTTTTTTGTAAACATAAACGTTCTGGGAATTTAGACAAACTACACTATGACTAAGACCAAACTGTACCTGAGTTAGGTCTATTGCAGCATCCCATAAAAGGGACCAGTTGTCTCATCTGGGATTGTAGTGACCATGAAGGAAAGGGACAGAGTGGGGAGCTCTGCCTTTCTAATCACTGCAAAGATGGCTCATGCTGTTGCCCAAAATCATGTAATCAATGATCAATTAACAAATAGTTCCTTTAAACACTATTTTTGCATAATATTGTGCTTAATTTTTTGCAGAGGGAATAAAAAGAATAATCAGATAGATCCTCTGCTCAAAGAGCTTAAAAAACCACAAAACAGGGCTTCCCTGGTGGCGCAGTGGTTGAGAGTCCGCCTGCTGATGCAGGGGACGTGGGTTCGTGCCCTGGTCTGGGAAGATCCCACATGCCGCAGAGCGGCCGGGCCCGTGAGCCATGGCCGCTGAGCCTGCGCGTCCGGAGCCTGTGCTCCGCAACGGGAGAGGCCATAGCAGTGAGAGGCCCGCGTACAGCAAAAAAAAAAAAAAAAAAGAAAAAAACCCCCACAAAACAATAACAAAAAACAAAACCCACTGTGGAGACCAGGGCCCTCTATTTAACTTATTCTGTCTTTATTTTTGTCTTTTATTTAAAACTCTTTTCTTCACTGAGTTTTCAAGGACCCAGATTTAGCCATTTGAGCTCATAATTAAAGAAATAACTTTAATAATTGACATATAATTCACACACTACAAAATTTACCATTTTAAAGTATATAATGCAGTGTTTTTTGGTATATTCCCAGAGTTGGGCAAAGATTACCACTGTCTGATTCCAGAATATTTCTATCACGCCACAAAGAAACCTCATCCTCTGCTCCTCTGCCCCTCCCAGTCCTGAGAACCACAGAGCTGCTTTCCGTCTCTGTGGGTTTTCTGTTCTGGACATTTCATGCATATGGAATCACACAGTACGTGGCCTTTTGTGTCTGGCTTCTTTCACTTAGATCTCGTAACTGATAATCTCTCTTCTTTACGTCATAATTCCATAAGACCAAACCCCTTATATGCCTGAAACCTGAGCATCTTCTTCACCAAATATTTCTTCTCTCCCAAATCGCATTCTACTCTCGCTTTATTCAAAGGTCTAGTTAAGGTGTATATTTTTGCACGGTCTTCCCAGAAATAATAGCACTCTACTAAAATGTGTAAATATTTGTTTCTTCTTCTTCTTTGCTTTTTAATCTTTTAAAATCTTTGTCAATAAAGGGAATACGTACTAGTAGTAATTTAGTACTAACATTATGGGCAACATAATTGTTTTAAACTCAGAAATGCTCTGATCCTGAGTTTGGTCTTATTAGAGAATTGTGTGTTTCTGTGTGTGTGTGTGTGTGTGTGTAGTGCTTTTGAAAATAATTGTTGGTCATTTTTTCCATTTTATACTTTTTTTTAGAAAATAATATATCTAAAGAATTATTTTGGCTGAGGGCTCTGAAGGGAGCTAAAGCATCTGATTTGCACCCATGTGCCTGTGACCACTGGATTCACTTTTTCCAGTGAATCTTTGGCTGCAGTGGGCGTGGGTCTGAAGTCCTCTTGGCCTAGGTCTTTATGCAGAAATGCCTTGGGAGGGGTCCACCGTGTCCTGGGAGCCCGTTCTGAAAGCCACTCAACCAGACGATTACGAGGATACTTCTTTTTAAATCTGACTTTTAATTTCCTTCATGGCACTATTCTTTATTGTTTTTATAGGACTGTTTATTTCCCAAGAACAGAGAGAGATTCTGTTGGATGAGATTAAAACATTACTATTTATTTTTTTATCAGTTTGGACAGTAAAAGTGGTGTTCTCAGGAATAACTAAAATGTACTGTCAGGTAGCAGTTTCTACCATGAGACACATCTTTTAAAGCAGTTATGGGGCAAATCAATCATCCTCAGATCTGAGTGTTATTGACAGAAGAATTTTCAAAACCTTCCAATTGTCTGTTATTAACATCCCCAGATTTGTTAATAGGCAACTAATCCTTTCAGATATGGAGATGGAAACGTACATACTATTCTATATGGACATAGGAAAATATGTGCTAAACACTAGGTTTTTGGGGCAGGCAGCCAAGATTGTTCTGTACTACGTTTAACATGGAACTGTGCATGTCGTCTTTCACTGAGTTAAACTGGATTGAACTTGTCATGCTTTCTTTGGTTAGATGTTATGTTTTCAAAACGAAGAGCTCTCTTTCCATGGAACTAGTATTCCAAAATCTCTCCCTTTTAGGGCTTGCCTTGTCATTCCCTGCCTCACTCCTTTGCCAACACTCTGTGCTCAGCCGGGCAGTTGGGAACAGGTGCAGCCTGGGCCCACAGTTTCTGTGACTACTTTATCAATGCCACAAACAAGATTGGACACTCTCTCTTTATTTGGACAGATGGCCTTAAGAGAGGGCAGAACCAAATTCCAAGTGGCCATTGCTGGGTGTGTGCACATAGAAAGACTCTTTGGCATCAGCAAGAAGCCTATTTTGGGGCATTCCACACATGGCCGTGGCATGCTGATGTCACAGCTGTCCGTGTGAGCAAGGGGTGGGGTCTGTGTTTTTCGTCTTGCTCTGTCAATGGCTCAGAGGTCTGGAGGCCATATGTTGCCACTCCCTGCACTTGGGCAGATGCCTCCTCAGCTTGGGCCATGTGTCCCCCACGGGAGGTCAGTTCTGGACCAAGCACACGGTAATTGTCAGGACGTTATGACACCCGAGTGTGTTTCAGTGAGTCTCATCCACACCTCCCAATGCCTAAACAATTGCTGAATTTTCTTTCAATGTGGACTCCAGGGGTACTCAGATACAAAGGGCCGACTCATGTTTTCTCCTAACCCTGTGATATTGGATGTGTTAGGAAAGATACAAGAAGGCGTGACATTACAAAACATTTGAATTATGTGGAGAAAATTACTGTATAGCTGAATATTCCTAATGCCTGGGCAAAGCGACATCAATACAGGAATTGCTACACAGGAGTAAGATCCCTAAGTGTACAAGTAAGAATGAGGATGGGGTCTGGATGTTCTGGGACACTGATGTTGGGTGAAAAGACATAAAAAAGCTAGAAATTAGTATTTTACCAGCATTTCAGGGTAGAAATATTCTTCTTCCATAATTGAAATCCCCTTTACCTGAATGACAACCTGGGGTTACATTTTTCTGCTGGATGTAGAGCTAGACAGAGTCTCACCTGAGTAGAGGGGCCTGGAAAGCTTCTGAATCTTGGCTAAATTCCTTGTTAGAGTCTCACATTGGTGAGACTACACAGGCGTCTTATAAGTCGGAGGAACATAGAAGCCCACACTCCAGGCCCAGGGTGTGTTAGCCGAAGGAAAGGACACCTTTGCTGTGTAATTAGTCCTTTGGAAGGTTGATGGAGGTAAAGTTGTGGCCTGACTCCTGCCCCGTTCTGTGACCACAGGGTATGTTTCTTGCCCAGACAGCTGTTTCAACAGCTGTCTGCCCAACCAAGCTGCTGTTGGTCACCAGGAATGTGAGAGGTGTGAATTGGGGTGAGTTGTATAAACCCTCTGCCAGGTGGGACAAACAGCCTGAGCACATCCTTATGGGGCTCAAACCTGCTCCCTTCTGGTCTGGAGGACAGTGCTTTCTGAGTGTAGGGGTATGAACCCCCTTAAAAACACAGTATAGGGAAGGTAAGTGGATATGAAGGGGATATAACATTCTTACATGTAGAGGGCAAAACTGCCTCAGAAGTAAACTGGATTTGCGGTTTGTTTTTTGATTTCTTTAAAAAAGATCAGTGGAGTTTGTATAGCTCATGGTAAACATCACTCATTTCTACCTGAGATAAGATAGATGCAATGGATGCATAATACAAGAGACTTTTTTGCCTTCATCCTAGAAAAAATAGGGACTTGTTTCAGACGCTCATTTTCCTTCAGCTGAGACTGAACACGTGGCTCACAGGAGGCGCTGGGGGTCGTGTCTTGCTCCTCACGTCTCCCTCCAGACAAAGCAGAACACGGTGGCAGTCAGAGCAGGAGAAGAGTATGTGGAGGAAACAGCCCCAAAGCAGGAAGGGATTACGGGAGAGCTGCTGACAGCCTAGAGGCAGGCATTCTAAACTTACGGGAAGCACACTCATCTCCCCGCTTACACCTGCTGTCCCCATGTCTTTATGCTGAACAATCAGCCTGTAAACAGCCGCTGATCCCCGAGAGGCAAAGGGGGCCTCCTGTGTGAGGGGAACGGGCCAGGAGGGCCAGTGAGCGCTTGCCAGCTTTGCTAAAGCTTCCGTCTTTCTTAGCATGCAAGAAGTAGGCTCTTAGGGCGAGAGAGA